ACGTTTTGCAGATTTGCATGGTTTATATTTTCTGATTATATAATGCAGGGCTACCCACACGCTAGACTGTGAAGACGACCCTAAACTCTAAAATATGACGATTTAAAGCTTGATTTTTGGTTTCTGCATTCAATTGTGCATTTTTCTGGCTTCCTTAATAAGAAATAATTCAGTTTTAGCCTATAAAGAACCTTGAATACGAGAAAACAGACTAAACAAATTCTGTACAGTCGTCTCTGAAGTCTCATCCTTTGTAGGTAACCCTGTGCTTAATGCTTTACAACATAATTGTCACGTGTTTTTTGCTTAATAGTTCACATGCTAAATAATAAAGATGTATTTGTTAAAATATAGAAGTAGAATGTAGAAGTTTTATAATGTTAATTTGATGTTTACACAAATATTAGATTCAAATTGGAATTCAGATTTATATATATTTACTTATTTACGTTTATAGTTATACAGGGATAACCAGAAAAGTATACTAGGAAGACGACATTAAAACAATATTGAAGTGCATTTGATGTAGTTACAAACAAATAATTTTATATTGTGAAATTGGTCTGTTAACACTGCACAATTAATGTGTCTCAGTCATGTTCATTGGACTATTTAAAGTCATAACTGGAGTCTAAAAGTTGAATCCCTATTCCAGAGTTTTCTGGTTCTTACTGTCATGAAATATTTAGGCAAAATATTTGATCAAATTTCACAAAATGCATATCTAAATAATCCACCCGCGGGATTTCGAAGAGGAGTCAAAAAAATCCTAATATTCAATTAACATGAATATAACCTACAAAACAATAAATTGTCGTGTTAAAACTGGAAAATATGTTTTTTTAGAAATATGATGTAAGTATTTGTATCCGTCATGAATTAATGTGCCAACCTAGTCTTCAGTCGATCTAAAATAAAACAATTGTAAGCAATTTCAAAAAATCCAAGAATATTAAGTTAAATAAAGTGACAGTCAACAGTTAAAATAGATTTTTCAAAAAATCTTAAGATTGGTAAAAAGTATTAAAACTTTCAGGAAATTGGTTTTCGTAATTGATGGAGAATGGGAGCATTTGTCAGATAGATCACAGACTATGTCTGAGAGACGCTTGGACTGAAAGATGGAGCCCTAAAATGTATCCAGAAGAAATTCTGTGTCTACTGTCTATACATTCTTTGGAATGTATAATCTATCCGAAGAAATGAAGAAATAATCCATGGCCTTTATAAGATGGTCGAACGGGGGAAGGCAGGCGACCATAAACCGCAACATTTCTCTCCTTTCCGTGCCACATATTATGTTTTTAATCTTCCGGCAGACTTCCATGCCACAGCATTTGAGTCTTCTGACAGTTATTACGTTTCTAAATGATAAATGTAGTGCATTGAAATTGCAATTTTTAAAAATCCTGCCGCATTACGCGAAAGATGATACCTTTAAGAAATCGTTTGAAGCTTATTAAAAATCATGAATTGTGTGATCAGTTTTTAAACTGCTTAACATTATACAAAGAAAAATTGACCTTATTGAACGCATTTTGAGCAGCGAGACAAATTGTTTGGGGTTGTCTAAAGAATAAGAAAAAATGAGGACATTTTTAATATTTAATAGAAATTATAATCTTTTTGATGGTTTGACTCAGGTTTCTGTTGGCTATAATTTATTTTAAAGAATGTGTTTTTTGGAAGAAAATATACATACCTTCACTCTTTATAGATTAAAAGTTTTTTTCAAGCAATGTATACTTTGATTATGAGTATCATTCTTTTCATGAGTAACCCTGCATTGTAGAGAAATAAAATGTAAAATGTGCAAAGGAACGCGGTCGCCATCTTTTTCAAATACGTGTAACAAAGGTTTCAGTGTCTAATCTTTACCTTTAATTGACAGAGTGATGAACAGTCAAGTAGAAACCATTTACATAAAACCAGATAGACAGATATATAGACAGTAATCAGTAAATCAGACAAAACTCAGTCAGTTAGACAGATATATAGACATTAGACATTAATCAGTAAGTTAGACAGATACATAGACAGAACAGTCACCTAGACAGCTAAATAGACACGACTAAGTAACCTAGACAGATACAAAGACATGACTAAGTCAGCCTGCAAGATACATAGACAGAACTCAGTCAGTTAGATAGATACATACAGTACTTAGTCAGCTAGACAGATAAAAAGACAGAACACAGTCAGTTAGACAGAAACATTGATAGAACTCAGTCTATTAGATAGATAAATAGACAATATAAGTTCGTTAAACATATACAATGCCATAACTCAGCCAGTTAGACTAGACAGATACATAGACATGGCCCTGTCGCTTGGACAGAATTCAGTCGGTTAGAAAGATAAATAGACAGAACACAGTCAGATAGGCTGATACATAGAAAGAACACAGACTGTTAGACAGACACATTGACAGAACTCAGTCAGATAGAACACAGCAAGTTAGACAGATACATAGGTCAGAAATCAGATAGACAGAAACATAGGTCAGAAATCAGATAAACAGATACATAGGTCAGAAATCAGATAAACAGAAACATAGGTCAGAAATCAGATAAACAGATACATAGGTCAGAAATCAGATAAACAAACATAGGTCAGAAATCAGATAAACAGATACATAGGTCTGAAATCAGATAGACAGATACATAAAACATATTCAGCTGGACAGATACAGTGAAAGAACTCAGTCAGAGAGACAGATAGATCACAGCCATTCAGACAGATGAATAGACAGAATACAGTCAATTTTCAGCACAGCCAGTTAGACAGATACATTGACAGGATTCCGCCAGTTAGACAGATAGAACACAGCCAGTTAGACAGGTACATAGACAGAACTCAGTATGCATACTTGTAAGTTTTTACATTTCCATTTGATCTTACTTTTTTGTGTTTTTTCTTTACAAGAGATTTCAGATTATTTTGTGAAACCTAAATTGTCTAAATTTTCAATTTCTTTGTCATTTTTATTAGATACAATGAGATACATTTTGGAAAATTTATATATCATATGAATATGAATAATGTCTATCTCCTTACATTAATGATTCCTTGCAACTGTAAACTCGTTTCTTTCTTTAAAGACAATATTCAGGGTGCAGAAGACATAAATTCACCTTGAAATTATCACATTTAAAGGGAGTGACCGGCTATGTAAAGTAGTTGAACTGAATATGCAGTGTTGTGGATAACTTCTTTCGGATTCATTTGAGATATATTAAACTTTTTAAAGATCTGTAAATCCTGAGTTTGAGATTGCTAAATCGATAATTTCGTTTTCATTATTTTATTGAAATTTTTATTTTCTTTGAATTTATTCGCAGATTTCTTCAAATTCTTCAAATGTCGTCTTTTCAATGAGAATTCTAGAAAATCTGCAGAAAATCTTTGTGAATAATGAGAAAATAGAAACTAATAGTTGAACAAGATTACGTACTTATTTTTGATGATAAGATTAATTTTTATTTTCTCAACATGTTCCTATACATGACGTGTGTAGTTTATTGTAGATTTTTCTTTATATTTTATGTCGTTGTTAATTGATAATTTAAAAAAAAACTAATTCTGAAAACGTATCAACCCCCAAAGTAGGAGTTTTGAACATCGAATTTGCGCTCAAACTCAGGATTTACAGATCTTTAAAAATAAATGATAAAAAATGTATTTTCTTGAAGCAACCCTGCAAGTAGATATTGAGGTAAACTTTGTTGACAAGGTTTTTATGCTGACAACTTACTCAATTCTTGTACATGCTTTTATTTATTTACAGCTGAGTACATTCACCCAAGACGCATGTTTTTTCTCTTTTATTTACCTTATGTTTGTGTATATTTTTTTCTTTATTTACCACTCATCAGTATCTTCTTTTCTCTTCCAATTTTTTGTTTCTCTTCAATATCTTCTTTTTCCTCTACATTTTTAACTCTTTAAATAATTTTTTCTCTCCAATATTTTTTAATCATCAACTTTTTTACTTCAGATTTTCATTCTCTCTTTTTATATTACATACTTATGACTTATTTTCCTCTAGTAATCTACCTGCACAATCTCCTTACAATTTTAAATCTTTGTATTCAAAATTTATAATATAGTAAATAAGTTAATAAACAAGAAAAATAAAAGTATTTTAAATATCTAAATATTTCTGAGAAAGGCAATAACATATTCTCTTATAAAGGGGCCTAAGTGTAATTTCAAATGACAATCCATGCATTGATAGCAATACCCTATACAAAATGGTATTCTAGAAACCTTTATCTGATTATTGATGTTGAAGATATTGTCGTTTTTCAAGTTTAAATTTTTTTCATGTAGCAGAAATTCGCAAGTCATTTTTGTTAAAAATATTCAGTAAATTTTTTTTTACATATAAAACTTTTATCCAATTCATACAAGCTTTTGAGGGTGCCGTTGTTAATCGGGCATTGCCATATTTACATGTAAGTTAACTTGAAATTACGCTTATAGTTCCTTTAAACACAGATTTCTATAAATTATTTAGTACAAACACAAGAAGAGAAATAACATTTTTGTTGTCTGTTTCTGATGCAGTATCTTATTCCTTTAACCATCATACAATAAAAAACTATATATTTTTACTAATATTATTTTTCCTCTGCGTGTGAATATTTAAGAAGAAAAATATTACTAGAATTTTAACTGGAAGTTTTTGTTACATATTGTCTCAAAAATATTAAATTTAATGAATTAAAGATTTTTGGTGCAAAATTTTCATAAATATTGAAAAAACGATTTTTGAGGTGAGATGAGAAGTAAAAAAAAATGAAGAAAATATAGACCCTTGTATATAATTATTAGTATTTGACCCAATAAACTGTTCAATTACCAGGCTAAAGCTTAGAACTAATTCATGAACGAATAAGTAAAGCTTATTCTAACCTCATGGAAATGGAAAGATGAAGTTAAACTTATTATGGCCATTTAAAAATTCCAAGCACTGCTTATTTCTTTTTCTATTTATCTTCCCAAATGCTGTGTATTTTAGTCCAACATTTAAAATTAATACTCTTATAGTGCTTCTTGTTTTGTTTAAATGTGTAGATCTTGAGCTGAATACTCTACTTAAACCCTTTCATTTGCTGCTCAACCAAAGACCTGGAAAATAAATAAATTTTAATTTTGTTTTACGTCAAGAGGGGGGTCAACCAACCAACCAACCATCTATACCTAAATGTTCCGTTAGTTTTCATCAATTCTTCAAAACTGCCAAGCTCAGCAACCTGCCCCCTGAAAAAGTTAAGTTAAGTTCAATGCTTACATGAAACAAGCTGTGTCAAATCAGCTCGGTACAGGGATTGCTTAAGGTTCCATTAAGAATAAGAATAATTATAAGATCTGAAAGGGAACCCGACATGGAACCCCCAGACCGCCCTCAGGGTGCAGAGCATCAACATGCAGTCTGCGGCCTGACTGGATTTCAATTCATTTCATTTTTGCTGGTTTTTCAGACCAGATTTATCTGTTGAGTTAAAAGCTGGTAGAAGTAAAAACAAAATTTCACTTTTGTACTTTTTTGGATAACATTCAAGAGCCTTTCGATTTACAAACAAGCTTTTCACACTTCCATGGAATATTTTTGTTATTTTATCTATTTTATTAAAATTTACCTGTCTAACACAGCAATAAGATTCGCGTTCTTTATTGTTGATAAACGATGAGCAATTGTAATCACACTTCTTCCCTATAAATATGGTAATTACTAGATTCTGTCTTCAACATTCTTATTTAAAAACAGGGGCGTATACTGTATATTTTTCAGGGGCGAAAATATGAGCTCCATCAAATGGTTGGGGGGGNAAGAGATAATTAAGAAAAAAGGATACAGAGAAAAGGGAAGGGGAAAAGGGAAAAAGAGAAAAAGGGAAAAAGAGAAAAAGGGAAAAAGAGAAAAAGGGAAAAGGAGAAAGAGGGATAAAAAAGGAAAAAGAGAGAATTTGTTTTTATCTGATAGTTTTGGCTCAAACAGGAAGGGAAAAGGGAAGAAAAGATTTATTTGCACATTTTAGTTCCTCGTCAGTTCTACAATACAAATGTACAGTACTGCAACCGTGTTAATTGTGTACAAATTTTTACCTTCATAATTTTGTCTAGAGCAATTTTAACTTCTTGTTCTGATATTGCATCTAAGGCACTCGTAGCTTCATCTGAATAATCAGATGCAAATTACTTTGTAGGTTAGCGCTATCCAAAATAATAATTATAATAATAATAAATGGGGGAATTAGTGTTGTTAATCGTTAAGGAACGATTTTAGAAAAATTCAAATAAATTTTTAAAGTTTGCTTTTATAGTATTTTTTTATCCTAAAAAATAATGAAAAACGTTCCAAAAACTACCATTAAAACACGTTTGATTCCGGATCGTTTTTGGGAAGTTCTTTTGATATATCTTTTGTCAGGGTCAAAATTTGACAAAGTGTAAGAAAAGCTAATGTTAAGTATAAACATGACACCGCTTTTTACACTATGCCAAAATTTTATCCTGAAAGAAATGGTAGACAAAAAAAAGTGACTAGCGGATTTTTGAAGAAGAAACAATCAAGGAAATCGTCATAGTTAGGCAAAATTTCAGAAAAACTTCAACATCTTCTCAGTTTTGTTAAGATAAAGGATACCGTTATGAATTGGGTGTTCACTTCAAACCTTTAAATTGGGTGTTCACTTTAAACTTTAAAATTGGGTGTTCACTTTAAACTTTAAAATTGGGTGTTCACTTTAAACCTTAAAAATGTGTGTTCACTTGAAACCTTTAAATTGGGTGGTCACTTGAAACCTTTAAATTGGGTGGTCCCTTCAAACCTTTAAATTGGGTGGTCACTTCAAACCTTTAAATTGGTTGGTTACCTGAAACCTTTAAATTGGGTGGTCACTTCAAACCTTTAAATAGGGTGGTCACCTGAAACCTTTAAATTGGGTGGTCTCTTCAAACCTTTAAATTAGGTGGTCACCTAAAACCTTTAAATTGGGTGGTCAGTTCAAGCCTTTAAATTGGGTGGTCCCTTCAAACCTTTAAATTGGGTGGTCACTTCAAGCCTTTAAATTGGGTGGTCCCTTCAAACCTTTAAATTGGGTGGTCATTTGAAGCCTTTAAATTGGTTGGTCACTTGACTTAAAACGTTTAAATTGGATGGTCAATTGACTTGAAACCTTTAAATTTAGTGGTCACTTGAAACCTTTAAATTGGGTGGTGTCACTTCAAACTACGTTTTCAGTCCATTTAATAATAACTTTTATTTTTAAACATGATTAATGATAATTTAATAATGATAATTATTTAAAATCTATAAATTACCAAGGAGCAATATAGACGGATTTTTGAGAATAGCTCTAGCAATAGCAATCCTCTGCTTTTGTCCTCCAGACAGCATTATTCCACGCTCCCCAACCATAGTTTCATAACCTGACAATATTCAGATACACTGCTTTAAATCCATTTCATTTTGTTGCAGGGATGTATGTTCTTTCAAATAAAAATCATTAGGTCTGGGAAGAGCTACTCTACAATAAGCAGCATTTCTGAACTCAGAAGCATCTGGTTCTGCTGCTGATCCCACAACAGGTCTCCCTGGTCTGACACAGAACCTCCATATCTGGAAACCTTCTGGTCTCTCAATCATATCCGGAGGCTAATATACTCCATCCTTGTATATCCTCATAATCTCTTCTTCTCCTGGTGTCATAGGTCTGTAAGTATATTCTAACTGCTCGAGATCACCAGCAACTTTTTACATCATATGGAGAGGATAGAGCAGCATCTGTTATATTCTGGTCCATAGTTGAACTCGCTAGAATGGTTACTATCAGATCAGTACCAGAAACCAGTGGAGACAAATCCCTCGGTGATGCTGAGGATTCTGGTAATGCATATTCATGCATAATGATGGGGGAGGAGGCTGGTGGCCTCCTTTGTTCTCTGACAGACATGTAAAAGTACATCTATCTGATAGCAGTATAAAGGTGCATGTCCCCCGGCCATTGTACGAACGGAGTAGTAAACTCTACATCTGTACTGTTCAAAGATCCAGGGTGCAATGTCCAATCTCCGGGTTCTATCTTGTGCCATGACTCAGAGAAAGGGTTGAGAAGTTTAGTATAAGTAACCGTACTCTAAATATTACACTACATATTTTTACAATATTATACACCCACTTCACACAAATCTATTTAAAAACAAGATGGAGTGCTATGAGATACAATCAGAAGTAAAATAATAAAAAGATGTAGAGCTATGAGCTACAATTAGAAGTAAAATAATAAAAAAGATGAAGATTTATGAGCTACAATCAGAAGTAAATTAATAAAAAGATGTAGAGCTATGAGATACAATCAGAAGTAAAATAATAAAAAGATGGAGAGTTATGAGCTACAATCAGAAGTAAATTAATAAAAAGATGTAAAGCTATGAGATACAATCAGAAGTAAAATAATAAGAAGATGTAGAGTTATTAGCTACAATCAGAAGTAAAATAATAAAAAGATGTAGAGTTATGAGCTACAATCAGAAGTAAAATAATAAAAAGATGTAGAGTTATGAGCAGCTACAATCAGAAGTAAAATAATAAAAAGATGGAGAGCTAAGAGCTACAATCAGAAGTAAAATAATAAAAAGATGGAGATCTACGAGCTACAATCAGAAGTAAAATAATAAAAAGATGGAGAGCTATGAGCTACAATCAGAAGTTAAATAATAAAAAGATGGAGGGCTACGAGCTACAATCAGAAGTAAAATATTAAAAAAAATATCGTTTTGAACAAAGGTATGAGTGTATGCCTCTTTATCGTGTAAATGTTTTACCTGAGGGGAAATTTGAGATGAACTGATGAGCATTTGCTTCCCTTGAAAACCAGGAGTTTATTTCATGGAATTAATAAAGAAAACTATGAAGTAAAATATATTTTGATTAATGTCACTTGACACAGTACACCAGGAAATACGACACATAACACTTATTCATATGACACAGTACACTATGTCATGCGTGATAGAACACCAACTCTTATTGACACAGTAAACACAGTAATCTGCAAAGTACACCGCGTCATAATGGCAAAGTACACAATGTCATCTGACGCAATAAGCTAGAGAAAGTAACACAGTACACCAAGAAATATGACACAGTACACTATGTAATCTGACACGGCACGGGAATTGTAACAAAGTACACTATATTATATAGGAATACGAAGAAATACGCTTTGAATTCATACACAAGTTACAGGGTTACTAACAAAGGATTAGACTTTAGAGAAGACTGTACGGAATCAATACTGTCTGATTCCTTATGTATATAATTACCTATATCCAGGGTGGCCAAAACTTTTTTGAACACATCCGTACAAAAATCCGTACATTTTCAGAAGAAATCCGTACAATTCGTACAATTTTCGAAGAACAATCCGTACAATCCGTACAATTTTTTTTTAAAAATCCGTACAATCCGTACATTTTTTTAAAAATCCGTACATTTAAAAAAAAAAATCTGTATAATCAGTACAATTTTCGAAAAAAATCCCATTTTTGAAAAAAAACATTAAAATTCAATTTTTCATTCGTTGTCTTTTGTGTTCAGTTCATGTAAGAGGGTTTAAACTTCTTCAGCAAGAATCAATCTGTAAAAAATTGGCTTCATACATATATACAAACTAAATACTGGGTACTAGGTGCATGATACTGGATACTGGATACATGATACAGGGTACAGGATACAGGATATTGAATGAATACTGTATACAGGATACAGGATACAGGATACAGGATA